ATTTTGAGGTTTAATAAATTATGTTTTTGATTGCAGTGCGTTTATATTTGTTTAGGGATTAATTTGAGGGAGAAACATGATCATTTCTTTCTCATTTTTTTCCCTTGTTCATTCGCCCTTTTATTGATCTGTTTTCATTTATTCACCCCCAACTAACTATTCATCAATTTATTCGTACGGTTATCTCTCTATTCATTCCATCCATCCGTACGTCCGTGCCATCCCAGCTTTCCATCAATAATATTCGTTCCATATTAATCTATGCATTCATCATTCCATCCACCCACCTACCCAACCATCCATCCATTTGTCCATGCATCCATCCATCATCCATTCACGTCTTATCCATCCATTTTTTTCTCAATTCTTCTTATATTGATTCCAGCTTTTCGTAGCCAAATACAAAGTCCTCCAAGTAATATCATCACCATCATAGTGAATATAATCTCAAATTCAGCCTTTTTATTCAGCTTACTTAACCTGCAGACATACGTTCCTATTCAAAGCTTCGCAGTTTAACGCCACATATATGATATATTCCGCTCGACTATCTCCGTCTTATAGACTAATACATAGATCTTACTAGGGGGGCTTCGTTATAGATCCATTATCCATTATATTTTCCAAAACATCCGAATATAGGTGTTTTAATAATTGAGAGGTTTTTTCTTTTCCTATACCGTCATTACTAGGCATTGAGTTTTTATTTTCTGTTTATTTCCTGTAAAATATATACGAAAATCGCCGAGAAAGTTCAAACTCAACCCCAGTAATTGTATAATTTTAAAATGAAATATTATAACTATGTCTCTGAGATAAGAATGTTTTTTTTATCTGATCGGATTCTATAAGATTTCCTGCGAAAGACTAACGCATGATCTACGTGTTGATGTGAACGTACATCATGCRTGCGATAAATTTGATCTTATTTATAGTTTAAAATTAGGATAATTAACCAAAATCTTTTTAAAAACATCTTATTTTTTAGACGTAGTTAGAAATATAGGTTCAGTTCGGCCCAAACATAGCTACCCTATAAATTCAGGCAAAGAAATATAACGTATATGTACGTACAATATTGCCCGCGCCAATAAATTTAATCTTGTTATATTTATAGTTAAAATTACGACAATTATACAAATTGATTTAAACATTATATTTTGCTTAGAGTTGCTTGAGTTAGACTTGGTAAAAAGCCTAGGTTACTTGAAATGCAAAAATGTAATGTAAAAAATTAAAGAAATGAAAAAAAAAAAAATTATTAGTGAGGGAAAAAAATATAAATTTAACCTTTTTTTTGTCGATTCACAAAATAAATTTCGCTTCAAAAAGCAAAAAAAAGTGTTAAATTACAAACTGCAACAATAATTATACTTTAATTTCTTCGAATTCCCAAATTTATACTATGATATATTTAAAATAAACGATACGASGAAATATATAAAATAACCTACCCTGATCTGATGAAATATGAAGTTTTTGCCTTCCGTAAGTTGGTCTTCTGCTCTGAAATCTTCGTGTAAGCCATGGTCGTTTAGCTCGCAACTTCCAGACTTAAGATGAAAGTTGTAAGAAACGCATCTTGGAATGTTCTCGCAGGATAAGCTACACTTTAGCCAATCGTTTGGGTAATTCACGGCAAAGACATGACCTGTTAGGTATCTATCTTTAAAAGTTACGGAAATTTCTCTGGATTGACCAAACTGGATGACAAGGACCAGAAAATAATGAAAATATGCGGAAGCCATTTTGGTGTTAGAAGTGGGGCGTACCAAGGTTCGATGTGTTTTTTAGCTTTATATTCCAAGCAGTTCTTGATAATCAATCAAAAGAAAAATTAAATAAGTATTACTTTGATGCATTTATGGRCTTWWYSG